TTCCCGCCGGCTGCAAGCAGAAGGCCACGCCAAATGCTGGAGGCCACCGCACCCCCTGGCTCATGGCCCCCACCTCCACTTTCAGAGCCAGCGACAAGACAAGCGTCCATCTGCTGCTGATTCTGACCACTTTTAAGCGCTCACTCCATTCTACTGGACCCACCAGGCCACCCAGGAAAAGGTACCACCTCAGGGTCAGCAGATCTGCACCTTCCACTCTTTGGCCATGTGGTCTGGTTCCAGGTTCCAGGGATAAGGATGCAGACATCTTTGGGGTTCATCATTCTGCAACCACGCCCCACCCCTCCGGCCAGAACCCTGGTGATCGCCACCCTTCAGTGCTTCGTGGCGGCCCTTTTCTATGGCCTTCCGAGCCCTGCCCGCCTCCCACCCCTCTTCTCACAAGGCTCCCCTCCTGCCGTCCTCCGCCCCAGCCCCAGGGTCCCCGCAGCACCCTTCCCCTGCCAGGAGTGCTCTGACGCCCACCCTGCATCTCCGCATCTGTGCATCTCTGTGGGCTGGCTCCCTCTCCACCTACAGGTCTCAGGTCAGGCATGACCTCTTCTGGAAGGGCATGGCCTTCCATTGACGCAGGGTCCTGTGCTTCTGCCAACGCCCCCAGATGATGACCTTCGAAGAACATACCAATGTGCTTACTGTCTCCCTCACCCCAGCAGCCTCTGAGAGCCACATCTCTTGGCTCAGCATTCAGCACGGGACCTGGCACACAGAATGCGTTCTGAACGAATGAACTGTCCCCCCAACAAGTCCTCCCCTCAGCTGATGAGTGATGGCGACCTGTTACAGTGACGGTGGAGCTGATGTCTCACCGGCTCGGAGACTCCTCGGGCTGTGACCGCTGGAAGCTGAAAGCTGTCGGAGCCACAACACCGTGAGCTGTCTTCTCCTCCAGCTCCACCCCAAGCACCCACAGCCTTGCCGATTCAATCTGGGCCCTTCCTGCCTCCATCCCGCTCACAAAGGTCGCCCTCCACAGGCCCCACCGCCCGCACGGCCTCCTGTGCACAGCGCTCGCGGCCCCGGCGGACCCACGCCGGAGGGCCGCCTGCGCTCGCACCGCGGTGGGCGGTGACTTCGTCCTGCCACTGACAGCTAAGTGTGGCAAGAGTGCCACCCACAACTGCAGAGGGCAGCCGCCCCTCGGAGTCAAGTGGGTCACTGGCCCAAGAGAGAACCAGCCCCAGAGAGTCACAGACTGAATGCGTCCTGATCCCCACCACCCGCCCTCTGATTCTTGCAGCACCACCGTCCTCTCTCACCCGGACGTTCACCACAGCCTCCGAACTGGTCTCCCTGCGTCCGTCCTTCCCTCCCAGCCCCTAACCTGTCATCCACCCAGAGGCCAAAGGGATCCTGCCACACCTCTGCCAAGACCCTCCAAAGCGCTCCCCCGTCAGAATAAGGGACAGGAAGCCCACGTCTTTCCACTGTGACCACGAGGCCCGCCCCCACCAGCTTCCAGACCTCGTGCCCCAGGACGCTCCCCCTCCTCCCTTGGCTCCAGTCACCAGGCCCCCCGCTCTTCTTGAGCACACCGCTGTCGCTCCCAACCGGGGGCTTTCCACTGGCCCTCTGCCCAGACCACTGTCCTCCCAGCCACCCAGGGGGCCTGTTCGCTCCCCTCCTGTGAGTCCTGCTCAAATGTTACCTCCTCTGTGAGACCTTCTCTGGCCACCTTATCACCGGGAAACCCTCCCCACTCCACATGCCTCCCAATCCCAATTCTCTGCTTGAGGTTTCAATAACAGGATAACAGTTCCCACCTTCTCAGGGGTAACTCTCTTCTTAACTTAGTCATGGTCTCTCTTCTCTGCCCCTCCAGCTCCGCTGTAAGGTCTGAGACAGCACTGGTTCTGAGCTGTTTTGTTCACTGGTGTATCTCTAGCCCCTGGAACTGTTACTGGCACCAAGAGTTGGTTAAACAAATATCTACTGAATGAATGAATTTTCAAACTCTCAAAGCTCCTCCAAGAGGCCCTCTCTCGTGCTCATCAAAGAGAATCGGACCAGACCGAACAAATATGTGCCTGGAGATCTCAGCCACTTAGGTCTCATCCAGCTTCAGCAGGTTACACTGGCAGAAACTGATGGCCCCAGGGGTGACATGACCTGGTGAAAGTCACACAGAGATTAATAGAAAAAAAAAGGCTGAAACCCAGACCACAGAACCAAGTCAGAGGTGCTTCCACCACATCACACATCCTGCTTCATCCAGAAGTTTCTAAGAAAGCCCCAGCCAAATAGACAATCTAAGGACCAGCGTGAATAGAGGAGGGGGGGCTACTGGCAAGACCACCTCTCATGCAGTGTGAGACCCTGGCCAAATCACCTACTAGAGATACACCAGTGACACAGGTTTTCTGGTAAGACTCCATCATTTAAAAGATGATGGCAGGGCGCCTGGGTGGCTCAGTCGGTTAAGCGACTGCCTTCGGCTCAGGTCATGATCCTAGAGTCCCGGGATCGAGTCCCGCATCGGGCTCCCTGCTCGGCGGGGAGTCTGCTTCTCCCTCTGACCCTCCCCCTTCTGATGCTCTTTCTCTCTTAAATAAATAAAATCATGGGGCACCTGGGTGGCTCAGTTGGTTAAGCGACTGCCTTCTGCTCGGGTCATGATCCTGGAGTCCCGGGATCGAGTCCCGCATCGGGCTCCCTGCTCGGCGGGGAGTCTGCTTCTCCCTCCGACCCTCCTCCCTCTCATGCTCTCTGTCTCTCATTCTCTCTGTCTCAAATAAATAAATAAAATCTTTAAAAAAAAGAAAAAGAAATCTTGACATCTGGGGCGCCTGGGTGGCTCAGTCGGTTGGGCGACTGCCTTCGGCTCGGGTCACGATCCTGGAGTCCCGGGATCAAGTCCCGCATCGGGCTCCCTGCTCGGCGGGGAGTCTGCTTCTCCCTCTGACCCTTCCCCTTCTCATGCTCTCTCTCCCTTAAATAAATAAAATCATGAGGCACCTGGGTGGCTCAGTTGGTTAAGCGACTGCCTTCTGCTCGGGTCATGATCCTGGAGTCCCGGGATCGAGTCCCGCATCGGGCTCCCTGCTCGGCGGGGAGTCTGCTTCTCCCTCCGACCCTCCTCCCTCTCATGCTCTCTGTCTCTCATTCTCTCTGTCTCAAATAAATAAATAAAATCTTTAAAAAAAAGAAAAAGAAATCTTGACATCTGGGGCGCCTGGGTGGCTCAGTCGGTTGGGCGACTGCCTTCGGCTCGGGTCACGATCCTGGAGTCCCGGGATCAAGTCCCGCATCGGGCTCCCTGCTCGGCGGGGAGTCTGCTTCTCCCTCTGACCCTTCCCCTTCTCATGCTCTCTCTCCCTTAAATAAATAAAATCATGAGGCACCTGGGTGGCTCAGTTGGTTAAGCGACTGCCTTCTGCTCGGGTCATGATCCTGGAGTCCCGGGATCGAGTCCCGCATCGGGCTCCCTGCTCGGCGGGGAGTCTGCTTCTCTCTCTGACCCTCCCCCCCTCATGCTCTCTCTCTTTCTCTCTCAAATAAATAAATAAAATCTTTAAAAAAAGAAAAGAAATCCTCAGTGTGGGGGCGCCTGGGTGGCTCAGTCGGTTGGGCGACTGCCTTCGGCTCGGGTCACGATCCTGGAGTCCCGGGATCGAGTCCCGCATCGGGCTCCCTGCTCGGCGGGGGGTCTGCTTCTCCCTCTGGCCCTCCCCCCTCTCATGTGCTCTCTCTTTCTCTCTCAAATAAATAAATAAAATCTTTAAAAAAGAAAAAGAAACCTTGACATCTGTTTCTCTCTAATCTACGTTCACCAGGCACTGTCCACGCACTGTCTTCACCTTCCCCGGGGCGCGGGCCGGGGATCAGCCGCACGCTGATCAGGACTTTGGAGCGGAACAGCTTCCAGGGTGCACCCGGGTCATTGCACGCACTTCATTTTTTGTTTAATTTCTTTTTCTTAATTCGCTTCCTGCTGCGGACTCAAGAAAGGAGTTGGTTTTGCGGCCGGAAGGTGGGGTACGTGGAAATTCACAGGGAGGCTCAAATCCACCGGAGCGAGTCCTCGAGCTCCAGGCCAAACGCAGCCGAGCGCGGGAGGGACAAGAAGGCCATTCAAGGGGGTCCCACCGCCGCGCCCCCCGGAGAGGCGATCGCCCGGCAAGCGCAGCCGAGCGCGGGAGGGACAAGAAGGCCATTCAAGGGGGTCCCACCGCCGCGCCCCCCGGAGAGGCGATCGCCCGGCAAGCGCAGCCCGCGCGGCCAGCGGGCCAGGTCCGCACTCCCCGAACCCTTCGCAGCGCGACCCGAGTCGGTCCCCTTGGGCTTCCCAGGGCGCCCGGGATGTCACCGAGGAGAGCCTGCCGAGGAGTGTCACCGAGGAGAGCCTGCGGCCTCGGGAAGACTCGCGCGCAGCTGCTCCTCCTCCCTTCAAGCCTCGGTCTGCGCGCAGCCCCCGTCACCGCCCAGACCCTGCGCTCGAGCCCCCCGGCCCCCCAACGTCCCTCTCGTCCCCAGCAGCCCTCCCCAGACCCCCGACTCCACCCGCAGCCCCGCGGGCCCCCGCGCCCGCCCGACCTCCGAGCCCTGACCCCGACACGGCCTCCCCGTCACACCCACCTGCCCGGGACTTCGCCGTTGCTGCGCCTCCAGAACCGCTTCCGGGCCCCGTCGCCGGCCACGGCCCCTCCTCCTCCCTCAGGCCCGGCGGCCCTTTCCTGCACCCCGAGCGGCCCCTCAGCGGCCCCCGGACGCCCGAGCCCAGAGGCTCATCCGCCTGCTCCCGGAAGTCCCGCCTCCGCGCGCCCGGAAGTCACGCCTCCGCCCAGGCGCGCCGGACGCAAGGCGCGGGCGTGACGACATTCAAGGGCGACGCCGGGGAGGGGTGTGGCGGCTGCGGTGCGGGCGGCGGGGGTCCGTGTGTCGGCGGCTGGCTGGGGCCCCCGTCCGGCTCTGTGCTCTGCCGCCGGGCGAGGCGGCGGGAGGGTCCGGGGCGCGCGGAGGCAGCGAGGGGCAGCGGGGTCGGCGGAGCGGGGGGGGGGGGGGGGCGGGGGGGGGGGCGCCTGGGGGTCGCGGAACCCGGCGCAGGAAGCCCCCGGCAAGGTTTTCGAAGAGTCGGCACGAAGCGGAGCGGAGGGAGAGTCCGTCTACACTGGTGGGGCGCCGGGCGGCTCCGTCGGCCCGCCGTCTGCCTTGGACTCGGGTCGTGACCCCAGGGCCCTGGGCTCGAGCCCCGTGTCGGGCCCCCCGCTCGGCGGGGAGACTCTGCTTCCCCCTCCGCCTGCCCCTTCCCGGCTGGTGCCCTCGCTCGCTCGAGAGCTCGCTCGAGTGAATGAAATCTTTGAAAAGAGCGAGTCTGCGTTGGTTACGTGGTGAAATGACAGCTGCTGAAGTTATTTTTCGGTGTTTCGGTGTTTGCTTCTTTTAACTCGACGTAGCCAACGAAGATGTGGGGTGACGTGCGTGACTGGCGCTGGATTTCTCTTGGTCGCGGACCCGGACCGAGAAGCCAGGTCCTGGCCTTTCCCGACTGCAGGACAGTCCGCGGACGCACCTCCGCCAGTTCTCTCGTGAGACAAGAATTGGGCTGCGTGTGTAAGTGTGCCCGTGCCCCTCGCTTACTGATGGGTAGCACTGATGGAGTTCTTGCCACACGCAAGGTCTGCGCCGGGTTCTTTACATGCAGTACGGCAGCCGTATGCCCACCACCCCCAGAGGCTGCCCCTCCCGGAAGAGCAGAATGGCTCGCTCACCTCGCGGACACCGAATTTTATGCCCTTTCCACAGGTCCTTGTGCCCCCCCCTGCAACATTTACCTGACTGTTTTTATGATCTCTGTGTCCACAGGTAGCTTGTGAGATCCTGCTCAGTGGGGCCGAGGTCTTCTGCCTCTGCAAGTGTGTGTTGGATGAATGACAACCATGGGAACTCTCCAGGGACCCCCTTTTGTCACCATAGAAACTCCAGGAATCTTCTCTTTGGTGTGATCTTAATGGATCCTTGGTGATCCCCAGCTGACAAACCCTCACTAGATCCTCAGGGCTCCTTTGTTGCATAGCCTGATGAGCTCTTCCGGGATCCTGTCCTTACATGACCTCAGGGAATCTCCAGAGATCTTCCAATAAGGTTTCAGTGGATCCGCAGGGACTCCCTCCTGACACAGCCTCAGGCAGTGTCCCGGGATTCTCTCCTAGTGGAGCTCAGGAAGGCCCCAGGGACCTCTTCCCAATATACAGCCCCGAGGCCTCAGAAATCCTCTCAGAGACTGGCTCCTAACAGCCTCCGGGGTCCCCTGTGGACATCACTGGGGACCTCAGGGGTTCTGTGCAGCTCTTCTGGCTCATTGCAAGAATCAGCGAGGTGACGGAGCAAGATGGCGGAGGAGTAGGAGACCTGGATTTCGTCTCCTCTCAGGAATTCAGCTGGATAGGGACCAAACCATTCTGAACACCTACAAACCCAACAGGAGATCGAAGAAAAGAAGAGCAACAACTCTCTCATCAGAAAAGCGACCACTTTCTGGAAGGTAGGACGTGCGGAGAAGTGAATCCGCGTCGATATTCGGGAGGATAGGCGGCGGGGAGGGGCCTCCGTCGGCTGCTTCTGGCAAGTGATAGAGCCAAGGAGCACAAAATCGGAACTTTTAAAAGTCTGCTCCGCTGAGGGACGTCACTCTGGTGGCTAAGCGGGGGGTGGAACCCCCGGGACAGTGTGGTCTCAGGACCCTCGGTGTCACAGAAAGACCGGGGGTGCCTGAGTGCAGCAGAGCTCCCAGGGATCGGAGCAGGGAAGCCGGCTGCAGAGGCGGAGCCCAGGCGCGGGCTCTCAGCTCGGGGTTGCCATTGACCATGATCCGCGGCACAGTCGGGCCCCTGCTCCTCCAGCAGGGACCCAACAAGCGGCAGATCCGGGGAGACTCACCTTCCTCCCTGGGGAGGAGCCGCGCGGGAGCGCACTGCAGAGATCTGCTGGGTTTAGAGACTCCACCCGGGGTCGGGTGCCAGAGAGAGAAACGCGGTCACAGGCCGGGCGAGCATGGAGTGCGGCTGGAGACCGGGGAGACAGGAGTGACTGACAGCTTTTCTCTGGGGGCTCACTGAGGAACGGGGCCCTGAGTTCTCGGCTTCTCTGGGGCGGAGATTGGGAGGCCGCCATTTTCACTCTCCGCCTCCAAAACTGTACGAAAAGCTCGCAGGGAACAAAAGCCCCGGAGAGCAAACCCGAGCAGATTACTTAGCTGGGAGGGGGCAAGGGCGGGGCAATTCCACCTCCGGCAGAGACATTTGGGAACCACGGCAACAGGCCCCTCCCCAGAAGATCGGCGAGAACAGCCAGCCAAGACCAAGTTTACTGATCAATGAGAACGGCAGAACTCCGGCGCTAGGGGACTACTGCACATAGAATTCACGGCTTTTTTACCATGATTCTTTAGTCTTTTAAAGTCAATTTTTTTTAACTGTCTTTTTGTCTTTTTATTTCTTTTTGAATTTTTCTTTTTCCCTTTTTCAACCAACATCTTATCAATCCCTTTTAAAAAAAATTATTTTTCATTTTTAGAGTCATATTCTATCCCTTCATAGTAGTTACCCATATTTTTGGCTTATATATATAAGTTGTTCTCTCTTTAAAATTTTGAGATAGTTTCTTCTAACAGATTAAAATATACCCTAAATCTCTAGTATACGGTGCTTTCTATTCCCCTGCCTGATCACATCCTCTCCCTTTTTTTTTTCTCTTTTTCTTTTTTCTTTTTTTAAATCCTCTTCTTTCTTTTTTCAAACAACTTCTTATCAATTCCTTTTATAACATTTATTTATAATTTCCATTTTTACAGTCATATTCCATCCCTTCATCCTATCAACCCTTATTTTTGTACATATATAAGTTTTTCTTTCTTTAAAAATTTGGGAGGCACTTTCTTCTAAAAGACAAAAATACACACCAAATCTGGTGTGTGGCACTGATCTATATACCATATAGATCATATTTGATCATATTCTGGTTTTCCTTTTGTTGTTGTTGTTTCGTTTTGTTTGTTTTTGTTTTTATCTTTATCTTTTTTTTTTCTTTTTCTTTTTTCTCTCTTTCCCTTTCTTATCCCACTGCTTTAGGTCTTTTCTGATTTGTTTAGAGTATATTTTCTGGGGACGTGGTTATTCTGCTAGCATTTTGTTCTCTCATTAATCTATTCTCCCCTGCACAAAATGACAAGACGGAAAAAATCATTGCAACAAAAAGAACAAGAGGTAGTACCGACTGCCAGGGACCTACTCAATACGGACATTAGTACGATGTCAGATCTAGAGTTCAGAATCATCACTTTAAAGATACTAGCTGGGCTTGAAAAAAATATGGAAGTTATTAGAGAAACGCTTTCTGGAGAAGTAAAAGAGCTAAAATCCAACCAAGTAGAAATTAAAAAGGCTATTAAAGAGGTGCAATCAAAAATGGGGGTGCTAACTGCTAGAATAAATGAGGCAGAAGAGAGAATCAGTAATATAGAAGATGAAATGATGGAAAATAAAGAAGCTGAGAAAAAGAGAGATAAACAACTACTGGATCACGAGGGCAGAATTCGAGAGATAAGCGATACCATAAGACGAAACAACATTAGAATAATTGGGATCCCAGAAGAAGAAGAAAGAGAGAGAGGGCCAGAAGGTATAATGGAGCAAATTATAGCAGAGAACTTCCCTAATTTGGGGAAAGAAACAGGCATGAAAATCCAGGAAGCACAGAGAACCCCTCTCAAAATCAATAAAAATAGGTCAACTCCCCGACATCTAATAGTAAAACTTACGAGTCTCATAGACAAAGAGAAAATCCTGAAAGCAGCTCGGGAGAAGAGATATGTAACCTACAATGGTAGAAACATTAGATTGGCAACAGACCTATCCACAGAGACCTGGCAGGCCAGAAAGGACTGGCAGGATATATTCAGAGCACTAAATGAGAAAAATATGCAGCCAAGAATACTCTATCCAGCTAGGCTGTCATTGAAAATTGAAGGAGAGATAAAAAGCTTCCAGGACAAACAAAAACTAAAGGAATTTGCAAACACAAAACCAGCCCTACAGGAAATCTTGAAAGGGGTCCTCTAAGCAAAGAGAGACGCTAAAAGAAACATAGACCAGAAAGGAACACAGACAATATATGGTAACAGTCACCTTACAGGCAATACAATGGCACTAAATTCCTATCTTTCAATAGTTACCCTGAATGTAAATGGGTTAAACGCCCCAATCAAAAGACACAGGCTAACAGACTGGATTAAAAAACAAGACCCATAGATATGCTGTCTGCAAGAGACTCATTTTAGAACCAAAGACACCCCCAGATTGAAAGTGAGGGGGTGGAAAACCATTTACCATGCTAATGGACACCAAAAGAAAGCTGGGGTGGCAATCCTTATATCAGACAAATTAGATTTTAAATCAAAGACTGTAATAAGAGATGAGGAAGGACACTATATCATACTTAAAGGATCTATCCAACAAGAAGATCTAACAATTGTAAATATCTATGCCCCTAACATGGGAGCAGCCAATTACATAAGGCAATTAATAACAAAAGCAAAGAAACACATCGACAACAATACAATAATAGTGGGGGACTTTAACACCCCCCTCACTGAAATGGACAGATCGTGTAAGCAAAAGATCAACAAGGAAATAAAGACTTTAAATGACACACTGGACCAAATGGACTTCACAGACATATTCAGAACATTCCACTCCAAAGCAACGGAATACACATACTTCTCTAGTGCCCATGGAACATTCTCCAGAATAGATCACATCCTAGGTCATAAATCAGGTCTCAACCGGTACCAAAAGATTGGGATCATTCCCTGCCTATTTTCAGACCGCAATGCTTTGAAACTAGAACTCAATCACAAGAGGAAAGTTGGAAAGAACTCAAATACATGGAGGCTAAGGAGCATCCTACTGAAGAATGAATGGGTCAACCAGGAAATTAAAGAAGAATTAAAAAAATACATGGAAACCAATGAAAATGAAAACACAACTGTTCAAAATCTTTGGGATGCAGCAAAGGCAGTCCTAAGAGGAAAGTATATAGCAAAGAAGCCTTTCTCAAGAAACAAGAAAGGTCTCAAGTACACAACCTAACCCTACACCTAAAGGAGCTGGAGAAAGAACAGCAAATAAAGCCTAAACCCAGCAGGAGAAGAGAAATCATAAAGATCAGAGCAGAAATCAATGAAATAGAAACCAAAAGAACAGTAGAACAGATCAACGAAACTAGGAGCTGGTTCTTTGAAAGAATTAACAAGATTGATAAACCCCTGGCCAGACTTATCAAAAAGAGAAGAGAAATGACCCAAATCAACAAAATCATGAATGAAAGAGGAGAGATCACAACCAACACCAAAGAAATACAAACAATTATAAGAACATATTATGAGCAACTCTATGGCAGCAAATTAGATAACCTGGAAGAGATGGATGCATTCCTAGAGATGTATCAACTACCAAAACTGAACCAGGATGAAATAGAAAACCTGAACAGACCTATAACCACTAAGGAAATGGAAGCAGTCATCAAAAATCTCCCAAAAAACAAAAGCCCAGGGCCAGATGGCTTCCCAGGGGAATTCTACCAAACATTTCAAGAAGAATTAATACCTATTCTTCTGAAACTATTCCAAAAAATAGAAACGGAAGGAAAACTTCCAAACTCATTTTATGAGGCCAGCATTACCTTGATCCCAAAACCAGACAAAGACCCCATCAAAAAGGAGAATTAGAGGACCAATATCCCTGATGAACATGGATGCAAAAATTCTCACCAAAATACTAGCCAATAGCATCCAACAGTATATTAAAAGGACTATTCACCATGACCAAGTGGGATTTATCCCTGGGCTGCAAGGTTGGTTCAACATCCGCAAATCAATCAATGTGATACAATACATTAACAAAAGAAAGAACAAGAATCATATGATCCTCTCAATAGATGCAGAAAAAGCTTTTGACAAAGTACAGCATCCTTTCTTGATCAAAACTCTTCAGAGTATAGGGATAGAGGGTACATACCTCAATATTATAAAAGCCATCTATGAAAAACCTACAGCAAATATTATTCTCAATGGGGAAAAACTGAGAGCTTTCCCCCTAAGGTCAGGAACGCGG